TTTTGATAAAGTAAGGTTTAACCGCGGAATCGCGCAATTTTAAAGACCTAAAAACGTATTTGGAGGTCTTGCTATTTAATAATTTAATTTTTATTTGAATTATAATAATGTATTGAATCATTCGTACTAAAAAATATACCTGGATTTTCGTGCTAAACAGTGGTTTTTGTCATTTTGATACAGTAAGGTTTAACCGCTGAATCGCTCATTTTTTAAGACCTAAAAAAATGTATTTGGAGGTCTTGCTATTTAATAATTTATTTATTTGAATTATATTAATGTATTGAATCATTCGTACTAAAAATTTTACCTGGATTTTCGTGCTAAATAGTGGTTTTTGTCATTTTGATAAAGTAAGGTTTAACCGCGGAATCTCGCATTTTTAAAGACCTAAAGAACGTATTTGGAGGTCTTACTGTTTAATAATTCAATTTTTATTTGAATTATAATAATGTATTGAATCATTCGTACTAAAAATTATACCTGGATTTTCGTGCTAAACAGTGGTTTTTGTCATTTTGATAAAGTAAGGTTTAACCGCGGAATCGCGCATTTTTAAAGACCTAAAAAACGTATTTGGAGGTCTTGCTATTTAATAATTTATTATTTATTTGAATTATAATATTGTATTGATTATTCGTACTAAAAATTATACCTGTATTTTTGTGCTAAATAGTGGTTTTTGTCATTTTGATAAAGGTTTAACTGCGGAATCATACATTTTTAAAGATCTAAAAAACGTATTTGGAGGTCTTGCTATTTAATAATTTATTATTTATTTGAATTATGATAATGTATTGAATCATTCGTACTTACAATTATACCTGGATTTTCGTGTTAAATAGTGGTTTTTGTCATTTTGATAAAGGTTTAACCTCGGAATCGCGCATTTTTAAAGACCTAAAAAACGTATTTTGGAGGTCTTACTGTTTAATAATTTGTTTTTGAATGATACTAATGTATGGAATGATTCGTACTAAAAATTATATCTGAAATTTTGTGGTAAATATTGGTTTTTGATATTTTGATAGAATAATGTTTTTCTGCGAAACCGTGCATTTTTAATGACTTAAAAAAATGTATTAGAGGTCTTGCTATTTGATGATTTATTATTTATTTTATTTATACTTGTTTATTGAATCTTTGGTTTAAAAATTGTATTTGGAATCTCGTGTTAAATGTTTGGTTTTGTTGGTTTTATTGAGTAATGTTTATCCGCGAAAACGCTTGACTTTAAAGACCTAGAAACTATATTTAGATATCTTGCTACTTAATGATTTTTTATTTATTTTATAGTAGTAGTGTACTAAATTATTGGTCTAAAAACAATATTTTTGGATCTTTTTGTTCTTAAAGTCGTTTGACGACAAAACACCCTACTTTAAAAAGATCAAAAAAACATATTTTAAATCATTGCTCGGCCATAATTTTTTATTTAATCAATTATCAAAAACCTAATGAATATTTGGTATAAAAATTATATTTATATTCGCATTGTAAATGTATTTGTCTTTCTGTAAGATGGTGTTGTTTTAATTAATATTTCAAATTGAATTAATTCATTTTTTCAATAAATACACTAATTTTTATTTATTTCCAAACTTTCATGATACTAATGTCCACCTTAACCAAGGATTTTGCCGAATAACAATATCAAAACATTAAGGGAACGCTGCGTGGTTTGTCTGCTAGCTTCAGCCTCATATGACTGAGACTGTATTACATTAGTAATGTGGTACTTTTTTAATATTCTCGAAAAGAGGAAAACATAAGCTTTTCTCTGATATATCACACGATCTACTTTGAAATTAAAAAAAAAAAATCAAGTCGGCGGCGGTACGCTAAACGCTAACGGCTCATAAATTTGACATGTCCTCTAAAAAATGCAGAATAGAATCCTATTCATCTCCCTACAATTTAATATTTATATACATTCATTCGACCCTTATACATTCATTCATTCATTTGAAAGAAAATACCATGCTGCCAGACTTTTTCACTACCCATACATGTTAGTGTACTCAACAGAATCTAAATAACTAATGTAGTGCAACAGAATTTTGTAAAATATATTATAATAAAGAAGTATTCTGTTGATGGCAAACGGAGAGTAGGAAATGTGTTTTATAGATATCTCTAATAATCTACTAAAATTAGATGAAAGAGTGTTGCTAAATTTATGTGTTGCACTGAATAGTGTATAGATAATATCGTGGGCTTACAAGCAAAAGGCATTAAGTCAAAAAAATAGATTTATGAGTTATAAGCAATGAAGTTCTAATTTTTTTATAAATTATTTAGGGATTATCAACTGCTTTAAAGAAAATGTACATACTTTCATACCATAAGTTTGTTATTTTGTTAATACGAATTTTTGAAATAAGTGTACACCCTACAGTGTACATCATGGAGTGATATGCTGTAAGACATAGTTTTTCCTTTTATTTGTTTTATTGAAAAACGTTTGTATTGCCATACATTTAAATAAAAATATGCAAAAATATTTTAAAATATGAGAATTAGTTGAACAATGATCTAACTATCAGATATGGAATATTTCAGTGAAGAAGAAAGAGGATGGATTGGAAATTTATTCATGTGAATTGATAATTATTATGATAATTATTGCAAGTACAATAAATGTATTTTTTGAGAGGTAAGTGATGATGAAGAACAAAAAGTGAATGCATCAACACATAAACACACTGAAATGGAAACCAAATAAATTACTGATATTTATGTATTAGCAAAAGCAATTTTTCACACCAAAAAATAACAGTGTCTTAATTTAATGTATTATTAGATAATAAAACGTAAAAAAAATTATTTAGTTTTTATTAGACAAATAAATTTACACTGTACTGTACATATAAAAAGTCAAAAATGGAAAAAAAATAAGAAACTTCAGTCAAAAACCAAAAATTATAAAATAAATTAAACAACTGTTATGTCAAATACAAAATTTTTACACATTTAGAAAAAAGTCGGGATCGAAAGGGATAATTGTTTTTACTTAAAAATTGGTGACAAATAGTGGTTATTTTTCAATAAATAAAATTGCTGGCCCTTGCTTAACGTTTTAAAAAAATTCGTAATTCCCAATTCTAGCTAAAAATGTTATTCATTGGAAAATAAATTTCTAGGTTAGAATAATATGGGCGTTAAGTGGTGGGGATATATTAGTGACGTTTAAAAGTGACCATATACTTCCCATAAGTGATCAGTCACTTTAGATAGTGACCACCAACACTAATTCTAAATCATGAAGGAAAAATAAATATGTGAAACATTGGCATAATAAAATATAAATTTTTATTATGTTCATGATTTATGGCTAAAACAAATTTCATTAAAAAACTGTTTTTTTAATTATCTATAAATATTAACATTCTACATTTTTGAAATCAAATTTAATATGTAATTATGTAACATGTTAGATACAAGATTTTTTCAAATTTTGATTTAATTATTTATAAAAATTGTATTTGGTAAAAAATTACTAACCAAAAATGACATACCAAAGATATTAGGAAATGATTATTTGGAAAATTGTTGTTAAAGAAATGTCACATTTTATATAATTTGATTTATTTGAATGAACACAAGAAGTTATTTCAAATATTTTTTTAAATAAAATATTAAATTAGTATGCTTTCGGTCGCTTGAAGAATTTAGAATAAAATTTTCAATCTATGCACCTGATGTATTACTTTTGTTGCATTGTCAGTTGCATAGCTTTCATTCTCATTGGCATATTTATTTAATGTTATGTTTAGAATTGGGTGTTAATACACTGCAACCTAAAAGCTCTGTTGAGCCCCCTTCTGTCGCTCTTAGGTATAGTGAGTTGCCCTTGGATTCAGGAGTGCTACACATTCAGTCAGAATGTGAATGGAGATTTCAGTCAGAATGTGAATGGAGATTTCATCCTCTTCTTCACAGAATCTGTACTCATTATGTTCCACTACTCTCAGTTTACCAAGGTGTCCTTTGAGCCCACCATCCCAGTAAGGATCCCTGTTACAATGTGGAGCCTGTTCTTATGGCATATGTATTTAGAAAATCATATAATTATAATGGACTTAGTATCCGTAGCCAAGAGAAACCTAAATCTAATCACACACACATCATATAATTATTCTCAACTACTTGTCATCAGGTGATTTTCTTGCTAGTTAAAGTGAGCTTTGAAGAAAGCGGGTAATTTTGTTGTGTATCGAGTGAAACAGTGTTTTGATTATTTTGTGCAGATTTAGAATGGAAAATAGGGACCTAAACAGAAATACTATTAATTGTAAGTTTACTAATAAAATCTATTTTTATATAGCCAACCTTCCTTCTTTCAATATTCTTAAACTTTCAAGAGCAATATAAGTATATTAATTTTAAAACCAAATAGGTTTATTAATATGTTTTCTTTTCACAACTGGTAACATAATGAACTTTTTGCAACCAGTTACATAATGTAACTAGTTACATAAGGTAGATCATTTTGACACTTTATATGCAAAATTAGAAAAGTTTATTTAGGACAGACAGTATATCTAAGTACCATCCTACCTACTTTTTAATGGTAGGTAGTTTTTATACAATTTCAATAAGTAAATACTCAAACTTTTTTATTGTTCATATTTTTTTGATGAGCACATACCTCAGTGTGTGTGGTGTGCCAAATAGATAATAAAGAAATTACCTGTTTCAATATCAAAAAGCCTTAGTAAACATTTACTAGGATCATAAATTACTAATACTAACCCACTGAATAAAATATAGGTTAAGGTCAAGAAATTTCACTATTCACAACAATTATTGATTGGCGTTACAACCACAGCTACTACTTAAAATAGATACCTAAAGAAACCTATTTTATTTTGGCTAGTTAAACATCTAGTTAGATACTCCCCAAATGTATTTAGATTGGTATCTACATAACCTCAAATCATAACAGAAGCTTTAAACTCAAGTTTAATAAAACTAAAACAATTTACAAAATAACTTACCAATTCAGGTACTATGTATCTTAATATATGAGAAATTTTTAACGCGTCACCAAAACCACTATTTTCTTGAAGTCTATAAGATCTACTACGAATGACATTTAAGCAGGTCCTACAAATAGGATATTCCCTGTAATTGTCAGCTTTTTCCTCAGTTTCAGTTTCCATTATTATATATAAAAACTAAATATTCAAAATATTTTTATGTAAAGGTTCTTGAACCTCTAACAATGACGTAAAATTTGACAAACGACAATTATAATTATGGCATTTGCTAGGATGCGCAGATCTCTAAACAAAGAAAAAGTTGCGCACTTTGCTCAAAATTAAGGTATTTTTCGTTTCATCAAGTTTTTATGTCGGTTGGTACTGTTGGTAGAGGTGTAGCCATTTGGATGTGTTTTGTAAATTAATTTTTTCCATGAACGGTAACGATTTAAAACATCATTTGATAACAGTCCGTTACTTTATCAATTTAGAATTACAACACTTTTTCTTTTTTAATATTATATTAAAATTTCCGGTAAAATAAACGAAATAAATGTAACACGTCATACAACAACGGCGGCCATCTTAAAACTAAGTTTGTGACAGTTGACAATTTGTCAACAAACATGGCGCCCTATTTATTTTAAAAATTAGTATTAAATTTATGAATTAAAAACAAAAATGAAGTTTCTATTATTTTAAATTACATGTATTGATGAAAAATATTATTTATATAATCAATACATTTAGCTTTTGTATATTATTTTCATGTTTGAGATTGCGCCATCTCTTTTTTAATAGTCGAACAATGTTATATAGAAGATAACTATTCCCATTTATTGTGTCTTACGCGCCATCTATTAAATGACAGATGAACATATTAAAATTTTTCTTAGAAATCTGTTTGACGTCATGACGTCTGTTACTCTTGACAATAATGACAGATGGCAGGTAAATATACAGGGTGTTTTCGAATTCTATAGAAAAACTCATAATGTAGATTTTTTTCATTAAACCAAAAATTGGGTTGAGATTTAATGTCCAAAAACGCTTAGTTGTTATACAGATCTCCAAAGTAAAACAAATAAATTAATTTTATTATAAAGAGTGGAAGAAAATTCTTAATAGACACTTTACTTCTACTTATTATAAGGCTAAAATACGCTCTTTTCAGACAATTTTTTATTCAGTTTGCTTAAACAGTGGCGTTCCGGTAGGTGCGGCTTATTTGGCCATCCAAATTTTTACGCAACTGATTTCAACAATTTCATTATACATTCCTTGTTTTAGTATAAACGACTAATGGCTAAAAAAAAATTAATAATTTCAGCAGTAACCCCAAAACCCCAAAACAATGTCACTGACCTATGTGACAGAGTTGAGAGTTAAATTTTCATAAAAGTCACTCTTTCCATTCAATTTCTTGTTTTTGGGATATGGGTATTGTTGACTATATTAATTAGTTGCAATGGCGCATTTTGTTTGGGGGATGTTCAGTGGCGTATTTAGAGTTTATGATGGGGTGGGGGTGGGTAATTTATGTGCATGTATTAGAGGTTCTATCTTGTTAATTATAATATGTGAACCCGAATATAACACAAACCCACAAACTCAAAGGGGTAATTATCCCTGTCACTTCCCCTTATATACGCTACTGGGGATGTTAAGATTTTTAGTATGACAACGTAAAATAAGAAATAAGACATACATCTCTCCTAATTAAATTTCAGTGACGGGGTTATAACCCCTAAACTACCCCCCCCCCCCCCCCACTTGAGTGTGCCACTGGTTTTTAGCGTCAACCTTAGAATTTATAGGACCCAAAATGCATAGGTAATGCTTTTTTCTTCTCTTTTAAAATAATGCGTTTTTTATAATCTAGCTTGATTTAAAAGCTATATTTCTCTAGCACTAAAGAATTTGAGTTTTATTTTTAATTATGAAAAATTCTTTTTTCTCACAATTCATTACGATTTAGCATCATTTATCTACTAAAAATAGGTATTTCAGAACCAGGAAAATTTGAGATTGCAGTTTCAAGTTGGACAGTTTTCAAAAATTTGATGATAAAATGAATTTTTCCTTATTTTATATAGTAACGATTGATTAATTTAAAAATAATTTATTTATTATTATTTATAATTTATTTATAACATACTAATTAATTTATTTAACACTTACGCACTATTATAACTCACAATAATTCTAATTTATTTATTACAATTTATCTTTCCTATCCAACACTTGAATTGAAACTTCTTGTCTTCCGACAAACTCGCGCTATTTATATAAAGCCAGCTCTAGTAGTTTCTCGGCGATCTAGAACGTCCGGGAACTCCTTCTCTATGACTCAACCGCCGCACAGCAATCTCTCCGGTAGCTTCTCAAAGGAATGTGTTTGTCTTTATATGGCCCAGCGCTTGACTTCATATCGCGGGTAAGGTAGTAAACAAAGAACAGGGTCGGCTTTGCGCGATATTGACACCTCCTTAATAAATAGTTCGTCCTGGAACTAAAACTGAATGATTGTATCTGCAACTGGACCCACTTTTACAATTTTCATTCGTATTGAAATAACAAGGGATGGTTTTTGCTGAAACCTGAACACTAGGCGAATGGCTGCAGACCAGTATTTGGACCTCGGAATCTTGGAAGATTACTTCCAGCATGTTTCTAATGATCCCTCAATTTAGTTGGTTGCTCTCTATCTTGGACATGGCTAGTTTCTGTACATTGGACATTACGTGCTCCCTCAGACTAAGTAATGCTTCCCATATATCGTGATAAGAGGATCGATCTCGGAAGGTGTTCTTTGTTACCAAATAAAAAAGATAACGTGATCCATCTTGAAGGTTCAATGCTTTGCCAGGGGCTGGTAACTGATCTTGAAGTTCTGGCAATCGACCAAACTTCTTTCGGAACACAGATGCCAAACCTCGAGCGTCGTTGATGTTGGCGGAAATGCTATGGACCAGCGAGTAGTCTTTTGGAACCGTGAGCAGATCTTGTTTTTGCTCGGTTGTAACACCATATCTTGCTTTTCCGGTACCTCCATATGCACCCATAAATTCTTCATAGACACGGTCAGATGATTCTTGGAGCTGGTTTACTTCTTTTTCGTCGTCATGGTCACCCTCAAATGGCGTCAGTCGGTTTTGATGAACTACCTTCGGTTTACCGTTCGGGCTCTTATATATACGGTAAATGAAATCATTTATTTTTTCTTAATGAGGTACGGACCTTCCCAAGACCTTTGAAGCTTCGGAGAATAACCCTTTAGGGTTATGAAGCCAGACTTTGTCGCCTTCCTTGAAACATCCTTCTGTGGCTTGGATATTGTATCGCTTCTTCATTCTGTCGCTGACGATTTGAAGATGCGAGCGAACTAATGTATGCATGTCGTCCATTTTTCTTCGTAGCTGGATCACTTTATCTTCACCGGCTATATCTTCTCCAGGTCGGCATCCAAACTCGAGGTCACAGGGTAGTCTCATCCCACGCCCGAACAGCACCTTTGCTGGTGTTTGGCCTGTAGATTCATTGGCAGCGGATCTATATGCCATTGCGAAGAGCGAAAGATACTCATCCCAATCTCGCTGATGGTTGTAAACTACTTTTGACAGGTATTTGCCAATGGTCTTATTCATTCGCTCTACCATTCCATCTGACTGTGGGTGTAATGCCGTAGTTCTGGTTTTCTTCATGCCTAGTCTGTCACAGATCCCTCGGAAAAGCTGGCTTTCAAAATTTCTGCCTTGGTCACTGTGGATCTCCAAGGGCACTCCAAATCTACTAATGAATTATTTTATTAACACGTCTGCAACAGTTGCGGCCGCTTGATTTGGAATGGCGTAGACTTCCACCCACTTCGTGAAATAATACATAACCACCATTATGTATTTATTACCATCCTCGGTCATGGTGAATGGTTCAGCAATATCTAAGGAAATCCTCTTAAATGGGCTACCAACGTTGTACTGATTCATGGGGGCCTTCCTTTTTCGTTGGGGTCCGTTACTCAAGGCACAGGTAGTACATTTCTTACACTAGTCCTTTACATCATCGGAACTGTTCATCCAATAAAAACCTTTCACGAACTTTCTGAAGGGTCTTCTTAACACCGAGATGTCCTCCTGATGAACTGTGTCGTGTAACTGACGAAGTACTTCGACTACTCTAACTTTTGAAATTACCAACTGTCTTCTGTTTTCGGAACCATCAGCATTCTCTAGTACTCGCTTTAAGAAGCCTTCTTTTAGAATAAAAGCGTCCCACTTATCCCAATATGACTTAACTACTGGAGAGAGCATTGCTACACTTTTTGCCAACTAGGTCGACGATTTTCCTCATTCCATTGTCGAATCTTTTTTAAAACGGGATCGTAATGTCGCGGGGGCATTACATAGTCCAAATGGCATGACATTGAATTGCCACAAAACAGATCTGGTGGTTAAAAATGTCTTTTCTTTGTCTACTGGATCCATTTCCACCTGCCAATATCCAGACTTTAGGTCTAAGGTAGAGAATAGTTTACTTCCAGCCAATGTGTCCAAGGTATCGTCGATTCGAGGCAGAGGGTAACTGTCTTTCTTGGAAACATTCTTCAACTGACGGTAATCCACACAGAACCTCGTAGTTCCATCCTTTTTCTGGACCAGGACTACCGGAGAGACCCATGAGTTGGTAGAAGGTTCTATAACCCTGTCTTCCTTAATTTCCTGAACAATCCTTTCAGCTTCCTCTCTCTTGGCTTTTGATAATCTTCGAGCTGATTGACGAATCGGCCTGGCGTCACAAGTGTCAATTTTGTGTTTTACAACAGGAGTTCTTGTTTTTCCTCCTTTTGGTACAAAAATATCAAGATATCGTCGAAGAAATTTCTTTATTTTCTTTTTCTCTAATTGATTCAGAGATTGACCAGCAACTGCAATCATTTGCTCATATTTGACGTTGGAATTATGAGAAGTTGTTGTCTGACGAATTATGGAAGTTACTAGTATAAGACGGGCTGAAATTTCTTTACCAGTAGTGATCAACCCCTTTCCGATCAGAATTCTCCGCCCAATCTCTTAATCGTGGTTCCAAGGTTCCATTATGACAGGTGTTCCTTCTTCCCTTCATTCGGTCAAAATTCACCGAATGAGAAGTTTGAGCGGAATGAATCAATCGATACAATAAAACGCTTATTCTGTTCAGACTTTCCACACCGGTGGCAAAAGATTGAGCAATAAAACGCGCCAATTATTTATTTAATTGAAATAATTGTAAATTTAATTTTGCAACTTTTTCTGAGATCCGGAACATATTAATAATTCCAAAAAAATTAAATTTATTATAATTTTCTTAAAAAAATTGCAAAAGTGCTGAAAACTTGAAGCAATATATACTGTATTATTTTCAACATTATATCAGATTTGCAACTTTTTTGAAAGTCCGGAACATGATTTTTTTTTTGTAAATTTGTATTTTTGTTTATATCATAGAGAAAAAAATTGCAATAGTGCTGCAAGCCGATGACGTAACCCATACAAGTTTTTGGAACAGCTATTCCAATTTGCAACCTTTTATTTTGCACGGAA